TCTTTCCCCATGAGAAAAAAAAAACAACCTTGAAACAATAAAGCAGGGCTTACAGACAACTAGACAGTTAAAGCAGCAAATATGTCTCGTGACAGCACGAAGCTGGAAAGCACAGTCTGCAGTCAGAAAACCTACTTGAGTTTCCAGATTCCAAGGGAAAAATTAGGAAACAAAAAGCACACTTTTACCTCAAGATTTGAAAGCCCCCCAGACTGTGACCACTGTAACTACACATTATTACAATGACATAAAACTCTGTTACTACTTCGGTGACAGGAAACAGCATTTTCTCCCTCCACTCAGGCAGGGCTATTCCCTCCTCCCTGTCTGTCGCTTACCGGGCGTAGGAGTAGTCCAAGCTGGCCTGATCAATGCGGTTCCGCAGGATGCCAATGTCAGCAGATACCATGTCATCCAGAGCTTGTAACTCCTTCTGAATCCTTTTTAGTTTCACTGTTTCAGCTTGAGTCCTTTTGGATCTGCAAAAGGAAGATGCTTTTTCCCCCCCCCGCCTTTTCAAGCCTCTCTTCTTGACATAATGGGCCCCATTTCATTTGTAGAGCAACTAACTTCTTTAAGAGCTATTCAGAAGGTTTCTCCTTTATGGTTTAAGACTTTTGATCTTTTTTAATATCCACAGGGATCTAAAATGCCTGCTATTAAAGGGCTATGGCAAAATTACGTAATGACTATAATCAAAGTGCCTAAAATGGATTGTGTTTCTTCACTGTGGAAACACACAAGAAGCTGCTGTATCTAAGTAGTTCTCAGTGTAAGGAAACAGGAAATGGCTTGGGGGGGGAGTGAGAGGGGGAAGGGTATTTAGCCCTGCAAATATCCCCTTTCAAAGAAGCCCAGTTAGTAGGGGCCAAAAAGTCACCTAACCTAAGCTTGATTTCCATTTTGTAAAATTATTCCCAAAAGGCCTAGCCAAATCCCAATGAAGTCAATGGAAAGTTTTACATCAAACACAAAGGATTTCAATCAACCCTTATGTAACCTTTTTCAACTCAGCCTATTCATTCTTAAGTTCTGAAAACTAAATGTTGCTAAGGGCAGCAAGCTTTGATGGATTTCACTCCGAAGCAAGCTAAGTAACTTTCAAAAAGCTTTTACACCAGGCCACTCTGCTGTCATTCATCACCACCAGCAAAACCATGCTTTTCAGCCACTGCTTTACACCCCAAAGCAGTATTTGAAAGCAAGACTAGATTTGTAGGAAATTACACCATCTCTCAGCTGATGCAGGTGGAGAGAAACAGACATCCTGTAGTATTGCTTAGAGCCTGAAGAAGGCCTTCAGATGTCAGACATAACTCCCTAACTATCACCTTCCAAGTCCTCCTCTCTCTCCTCACGCTCTGCTTCCAGGAGGAAGAACCCAGCCTGGTGGTCACACCCATGTTTGCTGTCCTACAGTGACTCAGACCAAATGTACTTGTGTTTTATCTCTGCCTGGCAAAGGAAAACAAAATCTTCAGAACCTCAAAGAGAATCTTTTGCACAGTGCTGGCTATGTTCATCTGTGCTAACCAAGAGCTTTGATGGGCAGAAACTAATACATGTCTGCAAGAGCACTGTGATCCTGAAAGCTGTCACATCTCCTTCCTTGATCCAGTGTTGTCAGCAGCTCCAACACCATTCCCTACAAACCTTGCCTTCCCTGTAGTCTTAAATTATCTCTGTGGACAACACTGTAAAGTACCTTAAAGTCTGGTCACCTGAAGAGCAAGAGCTAACAACCGTGAGAGCATGTGAATTTTTATAATTTCTAATCAGCCAGTGGTAAAATGGTACCTTCTTAAAGTTGATCGTCTTCTCTTTTCAACACTTTTCACATACTAATAAGGAAAGAGTCAAAAGCCCGAACAGAAATAGCTGTAATTTCCCTTCGTAGGCTAGGAATCAAACAAACTTGCCTTAAATCCAGTGAAAACAAATCAGGAACAGATCAGAGATGCACATCCGAGCACCCAACTTCCAACCCTGCCCTTACTGACAAGCACAAGGGCTTCAGCTAATTCTTGAATTGTGTAATAACTTTTCCATCTGCACACAGAGCTGCAGCTTTGGAAGTGTGAAAAGCTTAGTCACAGCTTCTTGGCCAGCTCTTGTCATGAAAGGGAAATGTAGATCACAGCTGCTCACTTGTGGAGCAGTACATACAGGGCACAGAGAGGAGGAAAAAGTGAGATTTAAATAGAAGATATGCAACTGGTTGCAGACGAAAAATAATCCCTTCCTCAGCCTCAGCCCATGCTGCAGCATAACCCCTTACCTCTCAGCAATAGCTTTGGCCAGGAGTGCCTTCTTGCGTTTATTCTTCTCTTCTATCAACCGCTGCTCTTGCTGGAGGACTTCCCATCGTGATTTTTCCTGCCTGCCCATTGACAATAAGATCAGAATTAATAGCAAGTTAATTTCTCTCCCTGTTCCCCAAATGACACAAACATTCACTGTCATATTTCCTAGAGCAAACTCTAAAAATGTCAAAGGAACAATAAATAGGTTTCAGTTCTGAGGAAAGAAGAATCGTGTGCAAGAAGTCATTCAGACCAGTAAAAAATTTCCAAATGAAATCTGCTGATCGGAACAAAAATCTTTATAGAAACAGAATCATTTGGTTTGAAAAGATCTTTAAGATCATAGAGTCCAACCATACCTGTCCACTACTAAACCATGTCCCTAAGCACCTCGTCGACCCATCTTCTAAATACCTCCAGGGATGGGGACTCAACCACTTCCCTGGGCAGCCCATTACAGTGCCTGATAAACCTTTCAGTGAAGAAATTTTTCCTAATATCTAATCTGAACCTCCCCTGGTGCAACTTGAGGCCATTTCCTCTTGTCCTATTGCTTGTTACTTGGGAGAAGAGACCAACACCCACCTCACTACAGCCTCCTGTCAGGCAGTTGTAGAGGGCAATAAGGTCTCCCCTCAGCCTCTTCTTCTCCAGGCTAAACAACCTCAGTTCCCTCAGCCACTCCCCATCAGACTTGTGCTCCAGACCCCTCATCAACTTCATTGCCCTTCTCTGGACACACTCCAGCACCTCAATGTCCTCCTTGTAGTGAGGGGCCCAAAACTGAACACAGTATTCGAAGTGCAGCATCACCAATGCCGAGGACAGGGGAAGGATGATTTCCCTGGTCCTGCTGGTCACGCTATTCCTGATACAAGCCAGGATGCTGTTGGCCCTCTTGGCCACCTGGGCACACTGCTGGCTCATATTCAGCCGGCTGTCAATCCAGTACCCCCAGATCTCTCTCTGCCAAACAGCTTTCCAGCCACTCACCCCCAAGCCTGTAGCGTTGCATAGGGTTGTTGTGACCCAAGTGCAGGACCCAGCACTCAGTCCTGTTGAAGCTCACATAATTGGCTGCAGCCCATTGATCCAGCCTGTCCAGGTCCCTCTGCAGAGCCTTCCTACCCTCAAGCAGAGCGACACTGCCACCCAGCTTAGTGTCATCTGCAAACTTGCTGAGGGTGCACTCAATCCCCTCATCCAGGTCATTGATAAAGATGTTAGAGCTGGCCCCAACACGGAGCTCCAGGGACACCACTTGTGACTGACCTCGGACTGGCTTTAACTCCATTCACTTCCACCCTTTGGGCCCAGCCATCCAGCCATTTTTTTACCCAGAAAAGAGTACGCCTGTTCAGGCCATGGGCAGCCAGTTTCTCAAGCAGAATGCTGTGGGGAATGCTGTCAAATGCTTTACTAAAGTCTAGGCAGAGAACATCCACAGCCTTTCCCTCATCCACTAAGCGCAGCACCTTGTCATAGAAGGAGATCAGGTTAGTTGAGCAGGATCTGCCTTTCCAAAACCCATGTTGACTGGGCCTGATCTTCTGTTTGTCCTGGACATGCTGTGTGATGGCACTCAAGATGATCTACTCCATGACCTTCCTCGGCACCAAGGTCAGACTGATGGGCCTATAGTTCCCTGGATCCTCCCTCCAGCCCTTCTTGTAAATGGGCATCACATTTGCCAACCCTCAGTCCTAAGTGGAACTTCCCCAGTCATCCAGGACTGCTGATAGATGATGGAAAGGGGCTTGGTGAGCACCTCCGCCAGCCCACTCGGTACCCTTGGGTGGACCCCATCTGGCCCCATGGACTTGTGCATGTCTAAATGGCCGAGCAGGTCACTAATCATTTCCTCTTAGATCATGGGAGCTTTGTTCTGCTCCCCACCCCTGCCTTCTGGCTCAGGGGGCTGGGTTCCCAGAGGACAGCTGACCTTACTATTAAAGACTGAGGCAAAGAAGGCATTAAGTACGTCAGCTCTATCTCATCCTTTGTCACTGTGGTTCCCCCTGCATCCAGTAAAGGATGGAGATTCTCCTTGGCTCCTCTTTTGTGGTTAACATATTTATAGAAATATTTTTTACCATCTTTCACAGAATTGGCCAATTTAAGTTCTAGTCGGGCTTCAGCCCTTCTATAATTTTCTCTCTGCATGATCTCGCAACATCCTTGTAGTCCTCCTGAAATGCCTGCCCCTTCTTCCAAAGCTCACAGACTTTCTTCTTTTTTCTGAGATCCAGCCAAAGCTCTCTGTTCAGCCAGGCCAGTTTTCCTCCCCACCGGCTCATCTTTTGGCACACGGGGATGGCCTGCTCTTGAGCCTCCAGGATTTCCTTCTTGAAGAGCATCCAGCCTTCTTGGGCTCCTTTGCCCTTCAGGACTGCCTCCCAAGGGACTTTGTCAACCAGCCTTCTAAACAGTCCAAAGTCTGCCCTCTGGAAGTCCAAGGTGGTGGTTCTGCTGACCCTCCTCCTTACTTCTCCAAGAACTGAGAATTCTATCACTTCACGATCGCTGTGCCCCAGGCATCCTCTAACCATCACATCACCCACAAGGCCTTCTCTGTTCACAAACAACAGGTCCAGCAGGACACCTTCCCTAGTTGGTTCACTTACAAGTTGTACCAGGAAGTTATCTTCCATGCACTCCAAGAACCTCCTAGAATGTTTCCTTTCTGCTGAGTAGACATCTGGTAATTTGAAGTCCCCCACAAGAAGCAAGTAAGCTGCTGTTTAATTCAGCTTTGCTGGAAGAAAGAGCATACTATGCTTTTTCAGAAACGGGTGGAAATTTTCATTTAAAGGATGTGCTTCCTCGCTAGGTAGAAGCAGTTTCAGGTTTCCTACTGGCTGCTAGTAGTTGCTATCTGTTCAGTCTGCCAACACAGCCTCTTTTTTGGAAATGTTCTTTCCATAAAATAGATCCTTTTGCAGGTCTGCTTTACAATACAGCCCCCGCATAATTAAACTGATACAAGTGAAAGGCTGGTAAAATTTATAAAGAAAATGAGCAATGAGGAAGAACAAGAATTCACTTTTGCCACCAGGGAAAG